GTGAGCGAATCAGACCTTAAAAAACAAGTTAGAGGTATTAAAGGAGGGCTTCACCAATGCTATTCCCCCAGGAGACCAGGCGGGTCTGCTAGCTACTGCAATGCTAGCATTAAACCAGTTCTCTAGAGGTGATGAGACAAAAAGCCCAGCCCAGAAACATTGGGCCACCCAAGCTTTAGAAGAAGGCCTACCGGTCGTTATTAGGAATGAGCTCGGAGAGTGGGAACAAGGGTGGAAGATAGTCCTAATGGGGCAGGGGTATGCCGCAGTTAAAAAAGACAATAGAATTAAGTGGTGTCCGCTCAAGTCCATTAAGCCAGAGCTGCAGAATTGAGCTAATGAGAGCCGTGAGTTTCTTTTTGCAGGACTGGATCTGCGGTCATCCTCGTAACCCATATGCCCGCGCGGCGGAAGAAGATGAAATGCCCTGGCGGCACCCAGGACTCCTAGAGCCAAAGAACAACAACGAGCCATCAGACGGCCCAATAGCACCTGAGGGCCCCGTACGGGTGAAGGTGAAATGGCAATGGTACCTTTGTATTATTCTGTTGTTAGGGCTTGTTGGCGCAAGTGACGCTGAGCATTACCCTCATCAGCCATTCAGGTGGGTCCTGCGTCACCTTTCCAGCGATAAAGCAATCAAAGAAACTGTAGTGCCAGGCAGCCCGTCTTTTGAATTCAAGCTGAGGGACATAGTCCCCTCACAGATGGGGTTTCCCAATTTCGGAGAGTCGTCACTGTATCAGACCTATTGGTGCCCCGCCTCTAACCCAGGCAAAAGCTATTGTAATTACCCAGGGTACGGCTACTGTGGATACTGGGGGTGCGAAACCATTGTGACAAGCGACAGATGGCAGCCACAGCAGCCTGACAAATTCCTACAAGTTAACTATGCTCCTGACGGCTGTCGTGAACCTAAATTTGCAAGGGACGGGCTGATATACATACCCCGAGATGGAATTAAACATACCTGCAGAAGCTATACAATGACTATCCAGCAGCCAATGCACGAAAGTTGGGCTACTGGTAAAGTTTGGTCAGTGTTCGTCCGCGCCTTTCGCGACTATTGGGTGAACATCCAAATCATTAGACTCCCACAGGTGACGCCCATCTCCCTCGGACCTAGCCCAATCCTTGCAGGAAACAGGGCCAGAGAAAGAACCACAGCTACTGTTAAACCCACGCATAGGACACACGCACCTAACCCCACCTCTACACCACTCATCCTTTCAGTGCCCAAGCCAGCCTCTTATGACCCATTTTTTAGCATGCTAAATGCTACCTTTTTGTCCCTGAACCAATCAAATCCGGATCTCACTGAGTCATGCTGGCTGTGTTATGACTCAAAACCCCCCTTTTATGAGGGCGTTGCCTTGAATGTCTCTTTCAACTACTCAGCATTACAAAATCCACCCCAGTGTAGGTGGGATACCCCCCGAAGAGGGATCACTTTGAGTCAGATTACAGGTCGAGGCAAATGTTTGGGTAACGCGACTGTAGCTAGACAAAAAGGCATCGTTTGTGATGAATTCCCACAGCCCCAAAGCTCGGACAAATGGGCGATCCCATCTGGGCCAGCGATGTGGGTATGCCAGCAATCTGGGGTCAGCCCATGTGTGTACCTTGATCACTTTAATTTTTCCGTTGACTTTTGTGTCCAAGTTCTTATTGTCCCTAGGGTCCTATATCATCAAGAGGAAGAAATGTATCTTCTGTCCGATGAGCCTCGCCAGCTCCACAAAAGGGAAGTAATGACCAGTATCACCTTTGCAGTGCTCCTCGGTTTGGGGGCTGCCGGCACAGGTACAGGCGTTTTGGCCCTTACAACCCAGCGTCAAGGACTTTCCCAGCTGCAGGCAACCGTAGACGAGGACTTGCAAAGAAGTGAGGAATCCATCTCCCTTTTAGAAAAATCCCTCTCTTCTCTTTCAGAGGTCGTCTTGCAGAACAGACGAGGCTTGGACCTCTTGCTCATGCAACAGGGAGGTTTGTGTGTGGCCCTGAGAGAGGAATGCTGTTTTTATGCAGACCATAGGGGAGTCGTACGGGACTCAATGGCCGAACTGAGAGAAAGACTGGCCTCAAGGAAGAAAGAGAGGGAAAGCCAATAGGGATGGTTTGAGTCATGGTTCAACCAATCCCCGTGGCTAACCACCCTTATCTCCACTCTCATAGGCCCTTGTATTACGATACTTTTGGCATTAATCTTCAGACCCTGTATTTTAAACAAGTTGGTGTTGTTTCTTAGAAATCGTTCAGACTCAATTAACATCATACTAATTGAGCGCCGATAACTGCGTTGAGCAAAGCTTTTCTGAACAGTTAACACTGATATAAAAGTTTAATAGCTTACGTTTTAGTAGCTTAATAACTTACAGTTTAATAGCGTTGGATTAACAATATTTACTTTATAGATGTTACTGCGTTTGGTTATGCATAGAGAAGGGGGGAAGTGTGGGAAGATAGGGACAGGCGGTCGGAAGATTACGCGCTGTATGGAAAGTTAGGATCCCCCCGCCTTTGCAAGCAGACAGAAGTGATGTAACCCCAGGCTATGTAATGCCGTGCAACTCAGAAATAAATGCCATTTTACTGTCCACCACATTGGTGTCTGTGAGTAATTGGCCCGAGCAGTCTGAGGTGGCTGCCGTGCCGTTCCCGAACCAGGTTGTCACGCCTCGGCAGAGGCAACAGAGGAGGAGGAGGAGGAGGAGGAGGAGGCAGTTGTCGGGCCCGGGATGAGTGCTGGCATGTATTATCTGAGCGGAGCTGATGTCTCTAACCGCTTCAGCTCTAGAATTACTCTGAGGCCCAGCAAGCCCCCGTTCCGGATGTCGAGCTTTTCCCACTTGTGAGATCGAGTGCTCATGACAGACTTTGACTGAGCTTGAGGAGAGGGGTCCTGGTTGGGATCTTCCCCATTGCCAGGTGGGCTGAGTTGTGGGTTTTGTTCCCAGGAGGAGCTCTCACCTGTCTCAAAGTCCAAGGTGTGGGAGTGTGTGTCCATGTTCGTGTGGGAATGTTGTCTCATTGCGTTCGTGAGGCCCCGTGTGCTGGCAGAGCTGTGCAGGTTGAGCGTGTGCAGCTGGGCTGGTGCAGCTGCAGGTGGGAGTGTGCAGGAGGGAAGTGGCACCTCTGCTGAGCCTGGCCCTAAAGCTGGAATGTTTTGTGCTTCTTGCAGATGTCCGGTTGAGCCTGGGATGTTCTGGCCTGCCCAGATGTATGATCCAGCATTTTGGAGAGTCCCCATGGCAGGGGGTCGCAGTGGTGTGTGTCAGGTGAGTTTTGGGGTGACTCAGGTGCTGGTGAGGTCCCTGGGCTTTGGATGCATGGTCAGATTCTACAGCACCTAGATGGTGTTGCTGGGGGTTTGCTCCAGTGAATTATTATTCATTACAGCCAGGTGGGAATGCCCATATAACTCCCCAGCAAAGGGATTGAGGGAGGTGGCGAGTTTGGTACCATGTCTCCCAATAGACTCTGGATTTTTGCATGACATTGCAGCACATGCAGTGTTCCAGTAAAGGCCTCAGGAAATGAAAATGGGTTTGAGGAGCTTTGGTGGTCTTTGATGGTTTCTCACTGCTCCTCAGCCATCCTTCACATTAATGTCTCTAGTGTGTGGCCTGCTTGGGTTGTGGGATTTGGAACTGAGCTGTTTTGTGTAATGGAGGATGGGTGCTTACTGCCTCTGACCAGAAGTTTTGGCACACACCGAAATCCTCTCCTCCAACCCTTTGGCTGGTGGCAGTGTGTGCAAACGTCAGGGGATTGGGTCTGCATGGTGACAGATTAGGTGGAAAATATCACTGCTCCATGAATCCCAAGGGCATCCCTTTGGGCCTCTCCATCTAGTCGTCTTGGTGGTGAGGATCCCCCCATGAATCCAATGGATTATTATTCATGAGAGGTGGGAATGCCCAGGTCGAGGGAGGGGTGGCAAGTTTGACACAGTGTCTCCCAACAGGCACTGGATCTGTTGCATTACCTTGCTACACATCCAGTGCTGTGGTAAAGGCCTCAGGAAATGAAAGTCTGAGGAGCTTTGGAGGTCTTTGATGGTTCCTTGCCCCTCCTCAGCTGCCCTTCATGTGAATGTCCCATGTGAGTGGCCTGCCTAGGGTAGAGGTTTTACAACTGAGCCATTTTGTGTAAGGGAGTTTGGGTGTTCACTGCCTCTGACCAGCAGTTGTGGCACACACCGAAATCCTCTCCTCCAGCCCTTTGGCTGGTGGCAGTGTGTGCAAACGTCAGGGGATTGGGTCTGTGGGCCATGGCCTCCACCATGCCAAACCCACCCTGAGCTGATTTTCAGGACAGCTGCTGTGTTTGGCTTTCTGGGGTTACTTGGTTGTCTCTCAGCCTTGTTTCCTTCTCTCTAGACCTGAGATAATTGAAAAAAAATCTCCCCGAAATGTATCTCGGGTTCCATTAGGCAGCCTAAGTCACGGCCCAAAGTTGCCCTCAGGAGGCATCCAGAGGGAGGGGTGGGCTTCAGTGGTTGCAGCTTCTTTACACAGTTCAGCCATAAAGGGCAAAATATACTTCGTAGCGAAGTTTGAGCCGTTGACCGCAAT